ATATAATATTCCTGATGCTTAGAAATGAATCATACTTTGGCTGAGTAAAATATTAATACAACTTATTAGCACATTACCATGAAAAGACACAAAGCATCAAATATAAAATTTGCTGTTACATCTTTTATGTTCAATGTACCTACAGTGAAAAAATATACATTTTTACTTTTGTTTGAAGCTAAAATATACCATCAGCTCATTATCTCTCTTGGCCAATAGTTATAAAGACTAAAATGGCTCTTCTAGTCTCTGGCTCATTAGAACATCTGATTTGTGCTAAAGATAAAAAGAATGGCAGTGCTAAAGAAAAGGTTATTTCCAGTTCCCAACTCATAATCAAACTGACTTAAGATAAAAATAACACAACTCAGCAGATCTAAGTGTCGCAGAGTGGGGCTCACAGCCACTGTGCACCTGCCAGAGCAGAGCACCCTGATGGGGCTGCAGGGACCAGTCCTGCTGTGCAGCAGAGTGCGTTAGGACTGAGCTGCTACCTTACATTCTCCCTACTAGAGTCGTGCTAAAGTCTGAAATCCTCTCATCTTCAAAGTTATGAACCTGCTTTAGTCCACACTCCACTGCAAGAACTTAGCTTACAAACTTAGTCAGGAGAACTCTCTAAACATGAAAATAACCATTCGTCAGTCGTTGATATCAGAGCAAGACTACTGTACCTAAAACATGTTTTGTCATTGAAAACTGGGCAGTGCCTCTTAGAAAAGGTTCCTTTGTCAATGCATGAAATAACCATAAAGTCAAAAAGCAGCTGTGCACGTGGAATGTCTTGCTCACACTAGCTCACTGCTGCTTCAGGGCATACTGGCAAGGCAGCCTCCTAAAGCCTGTGTAAGGGAGGGCAGCAGCTCTGAGAATCTGCTTCCTTTGCTTTGAAAGGCTGGCCTCCACATCTGCTGCCCTGGGCACTGCTTGTGGGGGGATCACATAACTAGGCACATTTCTCCTTACAAACAAGCCAAGCAGGGTGGCTCGGAAAGGAAGATTAATGCATAAACTGCCATCAGTGACCCATCTGTCAGTGTTGGTGGACACTTCTTGCTAGGGACTTGAACCACACTGAGTCATGATGAAAAAAAAGCTCATAGTTGTAGTATAAATTTATAAATTGAACTGATCCTTTGAAATCAGAGTTCTGAACAAGTACACTTGAAACAGACTAAACCAGTTGGAAAGAAAAAGTTATTAGTGTCCTAGTTATCTAGAAAGGAAAACAGACCTCTTAACTGCTATTCCATTTTGCTCAAGTGCATAATGTTCAAACCACAACCAAATGAGCCCTATTTGTCAATAGCATGGAAGGATATGCTTGGTATGGTAAGTTAAAATTTTTATATACTTCTAAAATCACATTCCCTTGGGGGTATCTAGTCAGGTGTGATACTAGTTTTATAGCAAAAATATTTTTCAGTCTAATGTGTTACAAAGTAATTCAGAGCTTTCCAACTATGACTTAGAAGGTAGGTTCAAATGCCTGTATTAATTGCAAGAAACACATCAATTTCAGATACTACTTTATTAATCTCTTGGCCATGTATCCATTATTACTGTGCCTATGAGATGATTTAAGAAATAAATATCATTTAGAAAGAGACTATAGAATCAAATCAGATCTGAGGAGATGAATGCTTAATAACAGTAGAAAGTTAAAAAAAAATTCATGATTTTGATTCCTCACTCCAAAATGCTGAAATTGAACATCTGTGACCCAAACAACTTAAGAAACAATGAGGAAAACTCTAGCTTACTACACACTGAGTTCATATCAAACTCAGTAATCTATTTTAAAAATGAAATCCCTTAAGGAAAACATGGGTGTATCCATTCCAAGCAATAGCATCAGAAGCTCTGACAAGAAATTCAGAGTAACGTATTTCATCATGAAAGCAGAGGTGTTCAGAAGGACAAATACTTCAACTGCATTCTTTTCCTTCACATTTTATTTTTTTTACTTCAATGACAGAGAAATTTCTACATCTAAAACTCCTTGCATGACTTCATCAAGACTAATTATGTAAATAAAATTCAACATAAGTGAGAAAAAAAGACTTTGTATTCTATTTTTAGTACTAATATAGAATGGAGGATCTAACTCAGAATCCACAAACTCTCCCTGGTACCCTAGTGCTGCCACTAGCTACCTCTTTCTATACACTGTCTCAGAGAAGGACCTACTGTTTAGTAGGGCCTTGTTTTTCACATATATATTAACTACAAGAGATGGCTATTAGTTCTGTTCAGCTCTGATGTTCTCTTCCCGAATGACATTAAGTTGGACATAGTTTCTGGCTAAGTGGTCTCCTGTCCCAATTAGGTCCAAGCACTTGCCTAATATTTGTTTTTTTTTTTAATTTGTACTGGTTTAATTGGACATTAATTGGATTTTCCAAAGATACACTTAGAGCAAATCTCAGCTATCATATAATTTCATTCATAAATGCTTCAATAAGTTTATCTAAGAAATAATTTTAATACATTGCCACAATATAATTAGGGCATTACATTAAAATTGCTGTAGTATTCTCAGAAATACAGACAGTGTTAGAATTTTCTCATACTCTGGTAGTTTGCTGAGTTCTAAGCAAATCCATACTTTTCATGTGTTTTTATATCATTTATTGTCTAATATTTGTAAAGCAATCAAGATCCTTTCAACTAATGCAAATATTTGTCTTGTTCACAATACATACATTCACTCTAGATTGCGACCTTCTGGTTTTTGCTTCATATCTGCCAGGTAGAGAGAGAGCCAATGTGACATGTGACATACACGTGGCACTGAGAAGCCCTAGAAGCCCGCCTTCATCTCCTGCTGTGCGTTCCTCCATGGGACTGGGAGATCCTTAAGGAGGAAGAGCATTGAACAATAAAGTAACTAAATCCCCACCGATGGGAGCAACTTCAATCTTCAGACTACAGAATTCTGCCAACAAAGATCTAATTTTGGAGTGGTTTATAGAAGAGGTATTTTTGTGGTGATTTCAATAACCTAGCCTTTCTACAAATCACAGCAATATGAACAGGCCGTACATTTCTAAGGTTAAAAGTGCACATCCCAAGGAAACAGAAAGAAAGCAGGAACACTGCTTAGATAAGAACAATGTGTTTCTACACATACACACAAATGCCTTTGTATTAAAAAAATCCATTTCTAAGCAACCAATAAGCTGTGGTCAAAATTAAGTTCAGTCAATAAGGCTGGGTTTGTGCTTTAATGCTATACCTATCTTAAAATACTGGTGAGATTATGAAACTTGGGTACTCTAATCAGTCAATTCAACCTTTTTCCTTTAATGAAAACCAAGCCAACTAAACAAACTCCAACCTCCTAATTTGGCTCACTTTGTCACTGGCTTCATGGGAAAACAGCACATCAATATTTTCAAATGCATAGTATAGACTAGCATTCCTTAGTTCATATGTCTGGCTAGCAGATATGAAGTGCTATTCCGAGTGAGTACATATGTTCCAGAAGATTATGAGGTAAAGTGTATATGCTGGACTTTCCTGGATGGGATGTACCAAAAACGAAACATGTTGTAAAATATCTGCAATGAGAAGACTTGATCAAATTCGTTGCAGCCCCTAGACCTCAGAACATGAGAAATGAGGTTACTTGAAAATCTGCATTGACCCATTAACGATCTTAGGACATGTTTAAACTCACTCCCAATCTTTCCCCACCCGAACAAAAAAGGCGGCCGTGGACAGAGGGAGGAATGTGAAGGAGGACAGTCGAGAAACAGAGAATCAGTTCAAGTTTCATGCTTTTCTCTCACATGCACACACACAATGATTCAAAACCCTCAAATATGCATGGAATAGATTGTGTCTTTCTTTGAAAAAAAAATCATGTTTTTAAGCCTTTTGCTTCTGCCATTAAGTAATAGATAAAGCTTGCCAATGAAATAAGAAAACATTCAACAAATGGCCACTTTTTCTAAAAGCTCTTGACTTGTGAAACCAAAGACTTAATATCACATATTGCAAACTCATCAAAAAAAAAACTTCATAAAGGTCCTAGATACACCCAATTCTAATATCGTAAGAATGGCCAAATTAGTAAAATATACAAAAGGCAGCACTTCTAGACATTGATGATCTCTGAAAAGCGATGATAAAGCTGACACCCCTGGGAGGCAAATCAGTAACCTGTGACTCTGTGGGGCTGGCCCCATTCCAACTAGGGCTCTAGGGGAAGCTGCAGCTACTAAATTTCTACAGGACAACAGCTTCTTCAATTTAAGCTAACTGTTTTGCACCACCAGCACTGAAGTTAGTTGAGCTCATCTTGAGCCTGACAGAAAGCAATCACTTCCCAAGGGTGAACTTCACAGAGACCACAAGAGTCAAATGTCCAGTGTGAGGTCTGCTTTCTTTTCTTATTTCTTTATTTCCAATACATTCCGCATCTGGGTTATGATAAGGACAAAAATAACTATGAGAGATTGCTGGATTGATGCTAAAGCCAGTCCTTTCTCCCCCAGTCTGTATACCTGGGTTCAAACAACAAATATTTATCCATTCAAACTGTCTCAGCAGCCTTTCATAGCTGATGGTGGCTTCCAAACTCATGCATTTATACATATGTTATCTCATGCAGGATAAAAGTAGATATCTTGCAATATTTATTTAATTTGATCACTGAGACAGTTAAAGTAGATGGCTTCTTGCACAAAAATTTACATGAAAGGACTGAGTGATCTGGATTAATGGGCTATACTAGTCAAATTAAATAGCTCACTGCCAAGTTCTTCACTCACAAAGTTGTAAAGACTCAAAAAGTATTTGACATTCAATAGAAAATAATAGTTATGTATTATTTATCGCTAGATATAATATAAAATGGCACTAGAGAAGCAATTTTTGGCATATAGTGGTGGAGGGCACAGTGCCAAGCTAAATCTGATGCTTTTCATTTTACTTTTGTTTTTATTATTATCATGCCAAAGACTATCAAGTTGGAAACCTTATTATTCAGGAAACCAACTGCTTGTATGTAGTATACATACAAAAATAAAACAAGCATCCTGAAGGTACTTGGTTAAAGATTTTGTACAAATCATAAATTCTTTAAATAAATAATGCTCTAAATTATTTGTATTTGCTAAAGGAGTGATTTAAGGTAGGGAGCAGCATCTAATACCTTGAGAAAGTACTTCGAAATGGGGATAAATTTCACTGATCATCATTATAATTTCAAGTGTGATAATCAGTTGAAGCATTTTTTCTACCACATTGAAATGTACAAGTGAAGTGCATCAGAAAAGGTCATACAGAGCATATTCTGCTGCTCACAGCTTTGACATAGTCAGACATCTATAACAAGTAGTTAGGCTCAAAGCGTTGAAGAAAACATCTTGGCAGATAAGGTCACCCACTGTCACCGGAACCTTAGGAGGTCACAACACAGTGACTGGACGAAGCTGCTCCAATTGATTTTCCAACGCAATCCGTTCTTGATGAACTTCCTGAGTTACACAAAGGAGGAGAAAAACACAGAGTAAAGGGGTCATTTCTGGATTCATTTCCACTTTATCAGATATTCAAAGGATACTTAAAATGGAACCCAGAAAAAGTGCTACATAAATCAAGAACAAGTGAGCTGAAATGTATTATATTTGAAGATGCTGACAAGGGGGCTTTACAACTCCTCTCTGAAGATGACAAAATGAAACTAACTGACCCCTTCTGCCTCACCTTAGTCTTAGTCATTTTTAACAGATCCAGAGCTGACAGAGTGACAATAAAAATGAAAAGACTTATTAGAAGAGAGTAGAAAAAAAATCCTGACCCTCCCCAACAACACGGAAAGGTGAGGCACTAGACCTAAAGCATTAGTGGAAATGATTGGTTTCCAATCTAGCACCACACTCGGGTCTGAAGGATGGAAAAGTGCATTGGTCACCACTGCACCAAAGTCTCATACAAGCTTCTGTGCAAAATACAGTTAAAATGCAGAAGAAAGGGATGGCCATCTGGTATTTAAAAATTTAAGTTTGCACACTAAAACAGATTTTTTTTGGCATGGAGAGAGGGGGCACAAAAATACTTTGAAGTAGATTAGAAAAGAATTCTGTGTAAAGATTCAATTCAGAGATGCTCCAGAATCAGTAGCATGCCAGTAGTGCTCAACAAGCCCTTACTGACCCACCTTCCAATCCACCCATCTACTATGCATCAAACAGTATCCTGATTGTGATGGCATCAGCAATGAACAAGACTGATACTCTCACTCATTGGGCTTATATTCAAATGGTAATGGAAAGGCAATATAAAGTTCATGACCAAAAAATTTTTAGAAGCAAATAAATAACATGATATAACTTAATAGGGTAACAGATTAAATCTAGGAGAAAGCAGAGGGGGTGATGAAGCAAGACTTCTCAAAGGTGATGCAATTTGAGCAGAAACTTGAATGAAATGAAAAGGAAGCCACATGGAGACAAGGGAGAAATTCATTGCTAAAGACAACATGGCAACATAAAGATCCGGAGGGAGGCAATCAGCTTGGTGAGTTGATGAGAAAGAAGGCTCATGACCAGAGTAGAGAGAGTAAGGAAGATACTGGTAGGAGATGAAGTCCAAGATTTAGTCAGAACCCAGATCTTAGGACTCCCAATCACATTAGATTAGAAGTCACTATTATAACTTGTGATCCAATTTATAATTCACAATTTTCACTCTGGCTATTGCAGACACAATGGATGCAACAGAGCAATTGCAAGGTTCACACAGGGATCCAGGCAAGAAATAAGGATGGTCTTGATCAGGATACAAGCCATAAAAATAAAGAAAAGTAGATGAATTCTGGACATATTTGATCCACAAAAAGTTGCCTGCTGATAAAGTTGACGGGGGAGAAGAGGAAAATTAGATGATGACTCTAAACCCTGGGATTAAGGCAGTGGCCATCAGGTAGTAGCATTAATTGAGACAAAGGAGATTGCAAAAGAATGGGAATTTCTAGGAGAGGGTTCGAAATTAACCATCTGAGATGTATAAAAATAAATTGCACATGTCTATCTAGAGCTCAGAGGAAAGGGATGTAACACTTGAGATATGCATTTAGGCCTCGATAAAGTAGATGTGGTCCTCCAAGGACTTTGCAGATATCATCCAACTAAGCAATATGGAGTTCAAGTAAAGACAGAGAACTGACCCTAGCCAGATTCCATACCATATCCTCTTGGATGCCACTCAAACAATGAAAGAGCTTTGGAGTGCCATTGATCTATAGGACAAAAAAAGGAAGAAATTATAGCTGAAAATTGTAAGTGCAAAAACAAACTGACAAAAGATAAATGACAGCAAATCCAGGAAAAACATATGGGAATGTGGGCAGCAGCTACTTCAAGTACACATTCTAGAGATGCCAAAATAAGCAGCCAAGACCCTCCCTTTGGAGGACAAGATGCCCCTTCATTCAAGGAGTTTCACATTAGTAAACACGCTGAATCTGGGAACTGATTGAGGAGCTGTGACTAGAGGTCTGCTCTGATCATTCTTCAGACTGCTGTTCACTAGACCTAGAACATCCAGACTCATACAGATCAAGTAAAGAAAACTGAGTCACAAGCTAATGACAGAAGCAAGAAGCAATCTGATACGACACAGGAGAATCCCTGAGAAATGCAAATTGGCAGCACTACCGACCTGTGAGAGTGGGACTGAACGAATGCAAGGGCATGGGATAAAGTTAGTGTTGTTTGCAAGTCTGTTTCAGGAGTAATTAGATTCCCAGATATTTCTTTCTACCAGGCAGAGGATTAAAAATTTATTCCTCAAAAGAGTAAAGCAGATAACATGTGGATGAGCAAGACAACAGGCACAGCTGTGGACATGATACTGGGCTGGAAATAGGGAGAGGAAATGCATATTCTCATTTTTAAGATTCATTTCTATTTAAAGGCAGATTTACAGAGAGAAATAGAAACAGAGAGAGAAAGATCTTCCATCCACTGGTTCACTCCCCAAGTGGCTGTAGTAGCTGTAGCTGAGGCAAGCCAAAGCTAGGAACCAGGAGGTAATTCCGGGTCTCCCCTATGGGTGCAGGGTCCCAAGGCTTTGGGCCATCCCCTGCTGCTTTCCCAGCCACAGGCAGAGCTCGTGGATCAGAAGTGGAGCAGCTGGGACATGAAGTGGAGCCCATATGGAATGCCAGCACTTTTAGGTGGAGGATTAACCTGTTGAACCACCATTGCAGCCCCCAACCCACATGCCTTTTCCTCTAAGCAGAAGACAAGAAGGGTCTCCAGTTTGAAAACTTCAACTAGACTAAAAGTAAATAGCTGATGATACTGCCTTCGAGAAGGTGAAGCTAGAACCATTTTCAAGTTTAAGAGGAGGGGATAGCCTTTGATAATACCACTGAAATAAGTATTATGGAAATGCTTATCACAAAGAAACTATGTGTGGATTTTAAAAAAATTATACTCAAATATGCTTATGCTTTAATTCCATTTATCATGAACATTTCAAAGTACCTTCACAGAATATCTTCATAGAACCAGAGAGATTCTAAACAATCAAGCTCTTACCTATAAGTTTTGATCAACAGAAATGGCTTCAAAAGCCTCTTTTAGTTCACATATGCTATAAGTCTACATTAGTAACACTACTAATCTTCCTGTAAGGCATGCAAGAACCAACCCGTGGAGCTTAAAGGCATCTTCCAAAAGAGGTTGGAGAAGAAGGCAAGTCTTACCAGCATGGGTGATCAGGCAATGCCAGGGGTGCTGTAGGGGTAGGGTTATTCAAGGATAAGCCTGCAAATCCTACTGAGCAGTACTGCCTACCTTGAGCTGCTGTTGGAGTTCACTGTTCAGACGGGCCAGCACTGCATTGGCCTCTTTATTTTTGCGGATGGCAGTCTGAATGGCCTTCTTCTGTTTGGAAGACTGTCTTCAAGAAAGCACAAAGGTTTCTGTGAGAAGCAACTATGTGTCTAGGTTCTCACAGCACTCTGATGCATCAGATGTTGTAAACTAACAAGGGGTTAACATCACAGGGCTCTAAAAATGAAATCTCATAGTTACAGGCAAGCAGCAGGCACAACACAAAATGAAAAAAAAAAAACCTGCCAATGTGAATTATTTACACCTGAAGTAATTCACATTTTATAACATGAATAAAAGCTGTGAATTGGACCTTTTCAAACATTTGTGTTCCATTTATTCCAAGATATTTTAATAAGCATTTCTTCCTGACAAACCTCATTAACCGGAATGCCCTTTTATGTAAGTATCAATGGCATTTTAAAAACCTGCAGGTGGCCCCTCTGGACAAGTCTGAAAAGAATAGAAGAACATTCTCTTTAGCAAAAATCCTGTGTTAACTTATCAAGACTGCCAAATTCTTCCTTATTTCTTTATCATGAGGCATGAATGGCTGAACATACATGCATATGCACACACATGCAGCAGCACACATATGTGGCACCTTAGGGAAACACAGATTATTTTTTCATATCAGTATTGGCAAATTAGCTCCATGGTAAATTCACAGAATAGGTGTAACAACGATGCTATGTATCCTATTTAACCAATTATTGTCTCTACTTTTTGGCCTTACATATTACTACTACTCTCTTTGTCTCTCTGTACAAAGTTGGGATGATAAATGAATATGTTCACCATAGGTATAACCTACCTACAACCTTTTATCTCATAGTAAGAGATGTTAAATTCCCAGAGAACAGAATCCCTGGAGCTGAAGGGAAGAGATTTCCCAGAACAAAACTAACCCCACGTGTCTTATTCCCACAAATCACTTCTCTTTCAATAAAGGATTTGGTTTTGCTACCGCAAGTTACTTTTTGTTATTTACAACCAAAAGGGACCTGAAGTAAAGCAAAGACAAGAACAGGCCCAAATTTAGACAGTAATGTGAGCCGCAGAACCCCCCTGGGGACTCATAAGACATTTAACTTGCCTCATCCTCTTAAAGAGTTCCTTCTAGGGTTTACCAGACAGGTTCTCCTAGTTTTCTACTCTGGAACTAGTGCTTTCTGGAACTAGTGTTCCAGACAGAGCCGTAAGTGAATCAGTCTCTAAAGAAAAAGGGAAGTCAGGCAGACTTCTGTTTTGCCCACTTTATCCACATGTCACACTACCTACTAACTCTGAGGTGCCAGGTCTTCTAGTGGAATACTTCCCCAAACCTTCACTCGTTTTGTTTTCAGAAATATATTTTCAGGAATATACCACCCTCCGTTTGAGCTAGGCACATGATGACTTTTTCTGTTGCAGCTAAGTGAAATCACGTTACTATGTTTTGGGACAATGAGATCATAGAGAAGTGATATATGCTATTTCTGAGTTGTGTCCTTTATACATAACCTGGTTTTTCTCCATTTTGTTCTTTCTCCCTGGAAGGCAAACAGGATCTAGAGCAAGAAGACACAAGGCGCCTGACTTGCTTAATAAAGGTCTCCTACTCTTCCGAACCACTCAGACTTTTACATGAGAAAGAAAGCAATTTCTGTGCCACAGGAGCCACTACTACCTGGCTTTTGTTCAGGCAGTTAAACCAATATTTTCAAAGATATAAACTGGTTTCTCTACATGCTAAAAATCTTAGTCTTCACCCTGTGCCCTGACTTTTCCTGAAGCAGATCTGAGTATGGTTTCTAAGAACTAAATTTGCTCTCCCTTTTCTCTACTTGAAAATGGTAGGTTTTCATCAGGGGAACCAATCATCAATCCCACAGACATTCCAATACCACCATGCCTTAAAGAGGAAAGGAGAAAAGAATGGCAACCATAACGAGACCATCATAAGGTCAACCAGCACTGCCATAGTGGTTGCTGGGAATGCCCCCTGGTCACCCAGGACACTGCCTGGGACTACAGAGAAGAGAAGAGGCCATGGAGGCTGGCACGGGCTCACTCACAGTACTGTCAAATGATGTCATCTATCTCCAAAAGACCACGTTTAGCAGACATGTGCAATGTTGGGGGGCGGGGCAAACAACTAAGCCAAACTATTTCTAAGCCTAGTTCTGTTCTTACAAATGATGCAATCTGAAAACAGCTTATTATTTGTAATCTGCATTTAGCAGTTCAGTAAAAGACAAAACCTTATTAATTCCTTTGTGTTAAGTAGCCAATGGCAGTGTGTAAAGCTGAATTTGACTCTTGTGAGTCAGTTCTGATGCTGATTTCATCACAGCTGATGACCATCTTGCAGCTGGTCTCCCTTTTTTAGCTTCTCTCGACTGGTGTGGCAGCAGAGAATTAAGCCCTACAGAAAGGACTTGTGACTCTTTTCTCAACTTTCTCAAGGATGACACTCTAGATGCATAGGACAGAGGCTAAATTATAGCATACAGTGGATGTCCAAGGGCATCAAAGCTTTGCTCCCTCCCAGAATCCAGGGCTACATAGACTAAACATCATGTGGCTGGCTATTTTTCTTTCCGGGGCTTATTAGGAAGGCTATGTTCCTTTTTACTACCGCAAAACAAGCTGGTCTGAGAACTAAAATAAGAAGTTGTGTGAAGCCTCCTTACCTCAGAGCTTATATCCCTGTTATTTATACCACTAAATGTGTTGTTGGCAAGCACTAATCTCTCTCAACTGGATATTATGTGGTCACCTCACTTGTAGGAGAACAGCATGAGGAAGGACACTCACTGCAGTGGTGCAGAAAAGAAAGTATCTCCTTTCAGCAGAGGATGCTGGGACAAATGGGTATTTACATGCAAAAAAAACATGAAGTTGGCTCATACTCTCGTGCCATGTACAAAATGAACAAAAACTAGAGTATATGTCTCACTGTCAACTGAATACTGTCAAAATTTTACAGGCAAACACAGGAGAAACTCATTATGCCCTGTAGCAGGCAATAGTTTCTTGGATATCTTGCACAAAATATAAGTGGTCAAAAACATAAACTGGACTTCATCAAAATTAAAATCTCTACTGTTATGAACAGTACCATTACAAAAACAGGACAATCCCATAGAATCATAGAAAATATTTGTAAATCAAATATCTGACAAGGGAGTTGTATCCAGAAAACATAAAGAACTTAGAAGTCAAAATAGATTAATAATCACATTAAAATTAGTTAAAGGAGATGCATGCACACTTCTCTAAAGCAGACATATACCAAAGCTCAATCAGCACATAAGAAGGTTCTCTACATAAGTTACTGAGGAAATGTACAGCAAAACCACAAAAAGATACCACTTTGTACTCAGTAGGGTGACTTTACTGAAAACAAAACAGATACTACTGACAAAAAATGAAGACACGAGGGCCCGGCGGCGTGGCCCAGCGGCTAAAGTCCTCGCCTTGCACATCCCAGGATCCCATATGGGCGCTGGTTCTAATCCTGGCAGCTCCACTTCCCATCCAGCTCCCTGCTTGTGACCTGGGAAAGCAGTTGAGGATGGCCCAAAGCTTTGGGACCCTGCACCTGTGTGGGAGACCTGGAGGAGGTTCCTGGCTCCTGGCTTCAGATCAACACAGCACCAGCTGTTGTGGCTCACTTGGGGAGTGAATCATCGGACGGAAGATCTTCCCCTGTCTCTCCTCCTCTCTACATATCTGACTTTGTAATAAAAAAAATAAATAAATCTTAAAAAAAAAATGAAGACATGATACTGCTGATAGAAGCGTAACATAGTATAGCCACTACAACAAAATGGTTTGGCAGTTCCTCAGAATGTTAAACACAAAGCTATCAAACAAGCCGGCAACCTCACTGCTCAGGTACTACATACATAGATAAGCGAAATGTTCATGAGAAGAAATACAAAGCTGCAGGGATTTCAAATTTTTTGAACCAAAATAAAGTTCAGTTTCCATGAACTTTTTAAAGCATCCTTGTATTCCCAAGAAGAATGAAAGCATAAATCCACACCAAAACATTTACACAAATAGCACAAATAACATTATTCTTATAGGCCAAAAAGTACAGATAAGCCAAGAGTCCACCAAATAACTGATGAATGAATGTATAAAATGGGGTATATATTCATGCAATGGAAAATTATTTGGGAACAAAATAATTACGTGTTGATTCATACTATGTCATTGATGAATTTTGAAAACACTGATTAAAACATAATAGGCACAAGACATGTTGCATTATTCCATTTATCTGAGATGGCCAGAAATCCACAAAGAAAGTAGATTACTCCTTACAGGGGCTGGAGGAGAAAGGGGGGATGGGGAACACTTCCATTGAGCACAGAGATTCTTTATAGGATGGTGAAATGTCCAAAAATTAGACTGTGGTGATGGCTGCATGAACTTGTGAATATACTAAAAACAATTGAATTGTAATTTAAAAGGTTAAAGGGAACTCCATATAAACTATATTTCAACAAAGTTATTTCATAAAACAAAAGACCTCTGTGTGAACACCCAGGGCCCTATCACCCACTTTGGAGGACACTGTACCTACTACTGAGTATTAATGTGAAATGGAAATTCAAACGGGTTGCTAGAGGTATAACAGAGAAGAAAATTTAGCCACCTTGTCTCTGGTATGTATCCCCCAAGCTTGAAGGCCACTGGAAGATGCCTAAAAGTCTCAGGGGAACATGAAAGGCAATATATATTTCCTTTATGAGCTGTTACCTCGAAGAAACTGTCCATTTGAAAAAAAAAAAAACATCTGCAGATGAAGGGTACAGAGTTGAAGAATGACACTTGGGCTTCCAAAGCACATTGATGATAGCACCCACAGAGCATGATGGTTTTTTTCCCATAAGGATGTAAGCAAAACAAAGTCCTTAGGAGCCTTTGAGATTTGCAGGGCCCCTACAGTAGTGTTGGGATGCTCTTCAATATTTTACATTTGTGACCAATCAGGCTCACTGAAGCCAAGTGACAGTAGCAGGAGTCTGCTTCCAACACCTCATTTAATTTCACAAAAGAGCAATAAAGGCCAATCTAGAGGCTGGTTTGTCCAGGGCATTGAGCATTGCCACATCAGTCCCTGGCCATGTCCCCAAGAGTCTCACTCTCTCACTGTTACATGTTGCTCCCAGTTATACAGATGTTAACAAAGGATTTGGATGTTTCCATTCTGTGTTGAAAAGGGTCAATAACAGAAACTTCATGGGAATTAAAAATAATCACATAACACATCTACTACAAATTGGGGTTGTGGGTCATGGAGCTAGTCATTTTCTCTAAAGGAACATGAAATAAGACAAAGAGGGCAAAGTGCCACGAATAATACTGTCTTCTTGCTAGGAAAATCTGGACCAGTACAAGAAAGAGGTGTGGGGGAAAACACTAAACCAAACCAAAAAACACAGCCTAGGACTTGCCGCCTGTTTGGCTCAGGCTGAATCCTTGATCTCATAAGGCTTTCTTTTATGTGATGGCGACTGTAATCCCATCAGAAAGATGAGTAAGGTAAGACAACTATCAAATCTTCCCACAGGTACGACTGTGAATCTAAACATGGCTACAGATACATGTATTTGCAGATCTAAAGGGAAGTTCCTCCCGTCGCTCTCATCTGCCTGGCTCACTTACTTTTGGACCATCGGATGAGGCTTCACCGTTGCTGTTGAAGCTGGCCCACCTACAGTGGCAGAAGGCTCTGGGTTTTCTGTAGCTTGGTTCTCAGGTCTGAATTTCCTACGAATGGGCTTTGAAGGGGGCTGAGAATATGGTGCATCCTATGAATTAAAATCAAATATAAAAATCAAAAAGTTAAAATTTAAATGCTTCCCCACCCACTCTGTCAGTGTTCCACACTCCCCTAGCCCTGTCTCCAAGATCGGATGGCTTCTCTATTCAAAATGCACAGGCGAGGATACATGGCTGATCCTTGGTTTGGCAAGAACTGGAGGGACACTGGCATCAGATTCCAAGGGCCTGCCAGCCTGCCTGTACTCATTCCTTTCTTCCTTTTAGTCTTTTCTTCATTCCTATTTTTTTTATTGTTTTGTTATTTGAATTTTCAATAAAATGGAATACTTGTACACATATGGGATATTGTTTTAATATTCCAACATGCAAACACTGGATGAACTAATCAAAGCATGCACCTTGCCCTGCCTTTGGGAGCCCACCAATCCTGAGTTATCTCTTCACATCTGGAAGGATGTCAGGTCCAGTGTTCTACTTTTTTGTTTCTTTCATTTTCTTTTTCCCAGGTTTCAAGCATTCTGTTGCTTCTTGTCATTTAAAACTCACACAGACCCCGTGTGTATCTCAGAAAACAAGGCCTTTTCTAGCTGCAGACAAAATGGCTCCTGGCTCACTTTGGGAATATAAATTTTGAATTTTATAAAGGCCTTAGTCACAAAACCATCATTCTCTTACTCCTGATTTCAACATGAAGTTGGGCCAAAGAGACATGGAGTGTTCTGGAAGGAGAGAATTGGCTTGTTTTACTGAATGACTTTTCTCACTTTTGTCCCTGAACCAAAGCCTACTCTCTCTGATGGAAGAAGGGCTTGCAAGAGAGTGAGAATATAGAACAAGGGAAGAAGATGGATGGGAAGCAGGCTGATTGACGGGTACCTACTGAGCAGATGGCAGGTGACTCAATGGCATTGCTAGGTAGAAGTGAAGATGCCAGAGTACCAGAGACCATGACACAGAGAAGAAGAAGGGGAGACCATCCCAAATGAAACTGTCACAGAGGCTGGGTGACATGTGAGGCATCACTAAAGGCATGTGTCCTTTCCCATAGAACTTTTTGATCTTGTTAAAAGATCAAAAGGCTACCAGATTTAGCTAGAAGGTTGAGGGACAGGATAAATTATCAGTGACATCAAAGGTGAAACCCAGGAATCTTCAGGCTCCTACTCTTCATGAAGAATCCACATTCCAGAAAGTCAGGCTTGCTGGGATTCCTTTCAGAATGTGGCAACCTTAAAACCCTGCATCTGTTAGTAGAGGGCAGGGCTCATAATGCCATCAGAATAGCATCCGCACGTTGGCCTTACCTTCTTTGCTGGACTACTTTCTCCAGCCTGTGAAGGAACTCTGCTCAACTGTGGGAGTAACTCGGCCTCAGATACTTGCTCAGCCTGTAACAATAGATAAGAGGACAGAAACGCAAAGGCACAACCAAGTATGTAAGACACAACAGGACAACAGTCATGAAGGGAAAAGTGATTTAGAAAGTACAGCCTTCTGATCCCCCTGGAAATCAATGCTTGCACAGACCCTGCTATTGTCTCACACCCCTCCTTCCAGTATGTTCAAGCTTGCAACAAGGTGTCAGCACATATAGATTACTGTAACTGTAACTGGACATATACACTACTATTAAAAACATTAGTGCTTCATCAGATCAAACTCTAAAAGTAATAAAGCTAATCAGAAAAAATAATTGGAAAATCAAAGATTTTTAACTCAAGCATCAAAAGAAAAAATGATCACGATAAAAAAGTGCAATTTTTAAAATATTAAATTCCTAATTAAGAAACATTTCACCGAGTGTAGCTCTTTACGTTAATAAAAGGAAGAGGGTGTATGGAGAGTAATGTGAAAGGTTAAACCACTGAATGGTAGATAACCAATCTTTCCTCTATTTACCCAGACATTTGCATTACAAAAATACACACTGTAGCACAACATAGTGTCTGAGTGTGCCACTTGGGTCACTTTCCTATCCTTTTGAACTTCCTGCAGGTGGCTTGCTCCACAGACTACTGAAACTGCTGCTTCCGAATGGTGCCTGCTCCCAGCTCACAGATTCACATTGTCTCTCAACTCTCCTCTCCACTGATCTGCCCAGCGTGGTCTGACTGCCCTTCCCAAACCCCTGCCCCTATGTGTGAAACTGCAAACTCCCACTTGTAATTATTTTATTATTCTTGTTTTGGCTTCTCTTATTGCTCAAATACAGGATTTCTCAAAGTTCCAGCTTCAATTCTACCTTTCCAGTTTTCTCTCTGTTCATTTTCTCCCAAAGTAATCCCATTTGCTCCTACATTTTGTCCCAACCAATTCCCCATCTCTTCTAACACCACTGTACAGGCACTCTGAGTGCCTGATCTCTAATAAAAAAAATATATTTTTTCTAAATATATTCTCTAATCCAGGTATATTTTTAGTCCTCCCTTCCATTAAGAATAGCTGTAGATTCCTGTTGTTATTAACACTGTGACACATGGAACACTTACTATGTGTCACACACTGCCTGAGCATTTTGCATGTCTTCTCACATTTCATTATCACAGTCCTAGGAAGTAGTTATTATCCCTATCCCGTTGATGAAGAGCGGCTGTTCAGGAACTCACCCAAGATGGCAGGATCAGACCACAAGCATCAAGTTCCCAAGTTGTGTAGGCAAGCACGACAATGTACAGCCTCAGGCACTTTTAGTCATGAGTGCTACTCACTTAAAATATGTGTATTCAATGGCTTCTACAGGTAATTGAATACTGTGCTACTGTTGGCATCCAAGAATGAAGACATACACTTTGACTTGAAATCTGTTGGCCAGGCAGAGAAAAGACCAGAAAACTGCGTTTCCATAGCCTAAGGTAGAACATGTGGCCAAGTCACATGGGACAGCAGACTGGGTAAAGATAAACTCTCAATGTAATTTTGACAAGCAAGATTCAGTCAGCTAAAGACGCAACATGTCAGGATGATGAGAAAGGAGACTCCAAAAGCGAGCTCATGAAGGACATTCTAAATTCCATTACCTATTATTTCTGCCCCAAGTATGACAGGAGTACTTAAGCCAATCCCTAGGACAGGAGACACAGAAGCAGAGGTCAGGCAGAGCTTGTGTTAGACATCCTGAGTTTGAAGCACCTAAAAACATCCAAGTAAAGCTGTCTAGGGTCTGTTCATTGGCAGGATTCTGGGGAGTAAGTACAATATTCACCTCCCTTTCCCAAGAGATTTTCAAAACCAAAACCAGGCACAGTCCAAGAGCTATGAGTCGAATGGCTGCCTTATACATGGCTGAGTGAGTGCCCAATTACTACCTGCATGCCCGTTTTCCCCATGAGCTTTCCCCAATGCTGAAGAAGGAGACTGAGACCCCGAAATTAATAGCTTCAAAGGCATATGACCAACCCCAAGCCCATGCATGCAGCATATCCCAGCAGAGAGACAGAGAGGAATGACAGACCCCAGCATGCCACCTTTCAGCTGGTCAGCTCTCCTTCATCAGGCAGACATATGTGCTATATGGCTCTTTGCCCTGCAGACATGAGTAAGCCTCCTTTTCATGGAAATAATGAAGGAAATGACAAATTGACCCTTTCTCAATGTGAACAGAGCAAAATAGTAGAGTGTCCTTGTCAGTGCTTCCTTTTTCTTAATCATCTCTATAAAACATGAACAGCACTGGGGCAGGGGGAGGAAAAGGAGGGAGCAGCTGTGAGAAGTGTCTGACAATATTTTTTCCATGTACATATTCGCCTTCCTAAAACTGCCAAGGTCCAGGATGTTCCAGTGTGTGACTTGGAGGAGGCAATTCCACAGTGCCAAGTCAGCTTGCATCTAACATTGGTCTCCTTAGGAAGAACCCAAGAACTCCCACCCATTCCATCTGCTCCAAGACCCATTCCAAAGAGGCCCATGGACTGAGCAGGCAGAGGAAGGAACACAGAGGAGATGGAAGGCACCTGGAACACAGGCATCAGAAAGGTCCCAGAATTAAGCAAAACCTTGTCAGAGCCAAAGTAATCCCAGAGAGATAGAGTGAAAGAAAACCAGCCTCGTGGCAAGAAAATTAAAGATGCGATTTAGGCATACAAGCGCTCCCTTCACAGTAAGATTCTCACTTTGCATTGTGAAAATAGTATGAGGCTCACAATTAGGCTTGGCAGCTGTTTCTTCAGACTTTTCTAGGTTACCAATTCTGGAAGACTGACAGCCCATGAACACAGAGGAGCCTCAAAGGCTTGCTTTTTCCTCTGAGTATTTGAGAAAGTGGGAGAAACAACTCTGCAGCTATAATGGCCTCATCTCAAATTTTATTTGTCTGAACTGAAATTTAAGGATTCACTCTGGGGAAAGAAACAAATATTTGTCTTACAATTAACATTGCAAATGGCAGTCAGTGCTGTTTTCATGGCTTCTCATGCAATAACATATACCCAGGCAGGATGCAGTGAGCCAGTATGTACTTCAAGCAAAGACACTCACTGAAACTCAAGATGATGTAGCTTATAAACTCCCCTGCCAACAAATGACAAATGTATTCTCATTTTGCAATGAAAATCCTCGATCAAACATAGATTTGGAAGGCACTGCCATTCAGGATATGGCGGGTCATCCTGTGGCTTTGCCCATTCCCATGGGTGATGCGAAACCAATGTCAGGTGGCTTTCCAGAAATGGACACAGATCCAGAGAGACTTCTGTTCACTCATTTTCAATTAAGAGATATTTATTTTGTACCTCTCTTGTATCAAGGACTGTGGTAGATGTGTAGGACCTAAGTGAGAGGAAGTTTCCGATCAAAGGTGCTGTGGTGTCCACACCAAGATCCACTTGACCTGGCTGCTACAGATATCTCCCAGCTGTTCTTAGGCGACTTGCCTACCAGGGACTTCTCTTTTCTTGGAGTTCAAGAAGCAAGGAAGTGAAAGCTCTTTCCAACAGCCATGTGAGTGAACCGCCAGGAAAATCGATTATCCTAGCTTCACTTGAACCTTCAGATAACTCAAGCCCTAGATTACGTCTTGCCAGTGGCCTCATGAAAGACTTTGAATTAGAACTACCCAATTGAACCACCCCTATCCATCCTGATCCACAGGCACAGTGAGTGAATAAATGTTGGCCATTTTAAGTTTCTAAAGCAAGTAAACAAACAAAAAGTACTCTAGCATGTTTAGGATTTTGGACCTAATAAGGTGGAATAAGAGAACAGAGTAGGGAGAAGGGAGGACTGAGGCTCCAGAAGGGCAGTGGAGTAGACTGTTTTGGATTGGCTTCTAGCCACCGAATCCCATGCTTTGCCCAACACTGCAGCAGGTGGAAGTCCAGCAATGCCTAATCTTTTCTCTAAATATCAAGTTCCTTGAATTGAAGCTCTCTCAGTACGAAATGCTAAGGTAGTTTCTGCTTTCCCTATCGGACCTTGACTAATACAAAAGTGTACTTTAAAAACTTCCTGGAAAATGGAATTTTTGGAAGAGACTTATTTTATTTGAAAGAGTTAGAGAGCGGAGGGGGTCTTCCATCTGCTGCTTCACTTCGAGGTGGCTCCAATAGCCAGGGGTGGACCAGGACAAGCTCTGAAGCCAGAAGTTTCTTCTAGGTCTCTCACATGGATGACAGGAGTTCAAACACTTGTGCTACCTTGCTGCTTGAGACCATTAGCAGGAAACTGGATCAGAAGCGGGGTAACTGGGATATGAACTGGTGACCACTTGGGATGCGTGTGTTGCATATGATGGCTTTATCCACTATACTACAGTAATGGCCCCAGAAAAGGGAATTGAGAGGTAAGTTTATTTTGGTGGAAAAGCTCTTAAATTGCATACTTTTCTTGACATACATTTTCCAAGAACTTCTTGACAACACTGCACACCCATGTTGCAGATTTGGAGCTTATTCTGAGGAGCTGAGGGGGTCACTGAAAGCCTTAAATAGGTAAGTGAGCTAACTATATTTGTATTTTAGGAAGATTTATTATGGATCCAAGGGGTGAGAAGAGCTAGAAGGAATCCATACTATAGGAAGGGAACCCAATTGGAATGCTGTGGACTACAAGAGATAATAGCCACGGTGGGCATTTGGCACAGTGCTTGGGATGCCCATATTAGAGAGCTTGAATTCCAGTCCCAGCTTCACTCTCCATTCCAGCTTTTCATTAAGCCTCACCCTGAAAGGCAGTGGTAATGGCTCAAGTAGCTGGGGACTTGCCAACCACATGGGAGACCTGCGATGAGTTTCTAGCTGCTATGAGCATTTGGGGAGTGAACCAGTGAATCAAAGATCTCTCTCTCTCCATCTAGATAGATAGATAGATATAGATATCTTTCCCCTTCTCCCCCTCCTTCCCTTCTTGCTTTCCAAATAATACATTTGTTTTAATATTATACTTATTTGATTAT